GGAAAGAAACCAGGAAGAGAGAATGGCAACACCACATGGTATCATGAATATGAAAAAAGAAAAAAGAAAATATTCAAATAAAATATTCTGCAAGCAGTAGCAAAAGAGACATACCCATGAGGAAAGGGAAAACATAGGATGAAAAAAAAAATGCTTAAGAGGTTCTTTCAGGAAGGAAAACTAGCAGATGCAGCACAAGGGAATGTAAACTCTACCCAAACACTGAGAATATAGGCAAGATTCAGGGGGAGAAATTAAATACAGAAAGATATTTTTTTCAAATGAAGTAAAGATGCAGCACAAGCAAGTATGAATTATATTTGTTTCCCATAGGCCAAGTCCAAGAAGAGATTTCCTACAAAGATGAATCATTTTATCTCAGATCCACAGTCCTGTTGATAAATCTCAAAGTGATTCACCAAGAAAGAAAATTTCCTAAGGAATGAGTTCTAGTACTTATTTAGAGCTGCCAAAGGTGTTGCTTAGTGGTCTGGGGATGCAGATAAATTGTCTGTGTCAATTCAAAGCTCGTACACAGTTGCCATGAGGGGAAGTATTATGTCAGCATGTGATTTCCTGAAACAAATCAGACCTTTCTGCAGAGGAGCCCATAAAAAGCGGACAATATATTAAGGCTGTTTTCTCTCAAAATAGTTGACTCAAGCTTTTTGTGCAGATCCAACTGGGTCAGGAAAAAACCAAAAGCAAATGAAGAAAGAGAAATATATTTTGTTTTAAAAAATCTGACAGAAGAATCCAAACAATTTTAGCATATGAAACCAAAACCAAAAGCTGTTTCAGTACAATAAATAGCAATGGAAACTGAGCATTTACAATTCCACATACAGAGGACACATATATCTTGCTTCAGCAGTAAAGTCTGCAAGACATTACTGGGGTGATCCCAGTTGGCATTAAGGGAAAAATACTAGACTCATCTGTCACTTCCAACAGTGGCACTAACAATCTGCCCAGTACATCTTCCAAAGGCACTTTGCTCAGGATCAGCTAGGCTAACTCTTTTGATCCCAGCCAGAAATGAGCAGAGATCAGAAGGGATAGCCATATCCCAGGTTAATTTTACTCTTCGTTATATGCAGAGAGAGCTGCCTCTTTCCGTATCTTTAACTGATTTCATGTATTTTATTTGCTACATTTAACACATCCATGAAAGACAGCTGGAGCCATCACTGAGCCACCACTGAACACTGATCCCAGACCATTGATCTGCCCATCACATGGCTAACAGCTATTCTTAAATCCTCAGTGCCATCACTTGGGAAGCCTATGAGTCCTATATTCCTTCCAAGTGTAATGGTGGCACACCTCATGTGAACAAAGATCTGCTGGCTCCATTGAGGCCAGCTCATAGACAAGAAGCCCAGCTATTCCTAGTGCATACACCAGCTTCCCATGTATCCTGGAGAACCAGCATCTTAAAAAGGAAGCCTGGGAGCTGAGTCCTGCTCTGTGTACTCACTTTTGGTGCTGAACTCTACCATAATGTACAGCTCACAAGAGCCCTGACAGGCCTCTTCCCAAACCCTTGCAGAATCCAGAGGGTGAACCTGTATGTAACTGGTTTTTTGTTATTTTAGTCTGGGAGGATTGTGACCTGAGCTTTGCCAGCGCTGGCAGAGCAGCTGCTCAGGCTATCAGGGAGCAGTCAGGAGCCTGGGATCCTCCAGTCACCCCATGGCTGGTTGCTGACGCAGTGTCTGGCTTTGGCACCATCATCTTACAGAGTCATGGGCTTGGCAGGATCCCCTTACACCATTTCAGGATGATGACAGAGATGACCGACCCCTTTGTCTTCAGGAGACGCCACAGCAGACACCTTCTACCTTCCCCATTACTGCCACCTCCCAAAGGGACACACAGCAGGCTGGGCAAGCACACAGAGGTGGGATGCAAAGGCTACCGACGCGTGGCCTTAAGATGAGACTGGGGAGATTCAGATTTGGTAGTCGAAAAAGAAAGTCACTCTTTCACAGTGCGTCCGGCATTGGGATAGGTTGCCCAGAGAGGTGGTGGAGTCACCCTGGAGGTGCTCAAGAGGCGTCGGGACCTGGCGCTGGGTGATGTGGCTCAGTGGTTTAAGAGCTGCAGTGGTGGTGGCACTGCGTTGGACCCGACGATCACCAAGGTCTCTTCCAACCTCGACCACTCTACGATTCTGTGACAGCGTCACCGCCGCCGGCATCTCCATCCCTCCGCCGCCCTGCCCTTCCGCATCCCCGGCCGCGTCCCCACGGCCCCGCACGCTGGGCTCGGCCG